ATTAAAACCTAATTGTACGGGCACTTAATTATAGTTATAAATTAATTACAGTTATTAGTATGTAAAATATTAATATTTGAAAATGCTTGCAAGATGGAGACAACACCCGTGGGTGAGACGTCATCTTAATAATATTTATAAAAATAATTGGAAGGAACAAAAACATTATAAATAAATGAAAATTCTTCGACGAAAAGACTATAATATTATATATGAGTTAATTAGATTTTCTCGTCTTCGCCCGTATACCGATGTTATTTTATTACAAATGGACATCCTCAGAAAGGGACTAGTGGATGCCATTGCACCCATTAGGATTTTTGTAATGAACAAAATAATCAGTTTATAATAATGTAAATATGTGTATTTTTGTGTTTTATTTTAATTATTCTTCAAGAAGATAATGGGCCCCATTGAACATGTTCGTGTGGGTACCCATGAGTTCACAATCCGAAATATAAATTCATTTTATAGTTCACATAAATTTAATAATTACAATTTGTAATATACATTTCTCAAATGACTAGAATATTAATATGAATAAATACATATTTTATTTTATTTTATTTGTTCATATAATAATATTATATTATAATATTATAATGTAGTATTATGTAAAAAATTGTGTAGTTAAATAATACAATACAATAATATGATAATATAAAACTAAAATTAACAATAATATTACTAACGTCGTGTAACTAATATGGTAAGTAATGCAGTAATCCTATACCTACATTTGTTATGAGTACGTCTAAATTTTGTTCTTGTAATATCCAAAATGTGTTTTTAAGAATCTTAAAAGAGGTGCTGAGTATAATGTTTAATGTTAGTATATTGTACATTTTTGGACCAATATATGGAGTATGTGAATATTACCAATATAAGTACCTACCTATGTGGATCGTGTTATTTTTTTGTACATAGTTGGTAGTTTGATAAAAGATATTTGTCTTGTGTTATGTCCGTGTTCAGTTTTCAAAGTAAGGTTATGGTTAATTATGTAAAATACCGACGCTTTATAAAATAATTGTTTTATTGAAAGTACATTCATGTCCTCCTATAAATGTGTGGTATCTTGAGTATTTTTTTAGGATAATTTTCAGTAATTTATTTGTTATTTTTTGTTAATTTGTCTATAGTCGTATCATACGAAACACCATAATTAATTATGAATTCTATTAATCCTTGATATTTACACTTATAGATGTGAGAGCTGTAAATTTACCAGGTAAATTTTTACTTTTAAAAAAATGTACCGTTCATTTTACCCATTTTCTTACCAAAAAAAAAATGTTGTGTGGCCGCTCTAATTAAATGAAATCAAAAACGCCTAGTCTGAATTGTAAAGAGATATCTTTTTTTATCAACTGATACAGTATATTATCATTTATGATATTGATATACTTGTTATTTTTTATATTTTTTGTTATAGATAATAGGTAGTATCAATATTCTGCCAACCCTACTATATTTTAGAAAATTAAATATCAGTAAGTGATTAGGAAACATTTTATATAGGCAGATCACAGGTACCAAGAAGGCAGATAATATGATATTGATAATATACTATTAATTATTATTAATACAAAAGTTAAGTCTAAATATACATGTTTTGACTTAAAAAGTAATAAAGGTTATGTGCATTTTGATTGTTTAGTTTAATTTAAATTATTTATCAATTGTGATATGAATAATTAAAAATTCATATTTCATAAAATTTACTAATTACCAATGTCTAATACAGAACAATAGATATTATATACTATCATATTTTAGATTTTTTGTTAATTATTGTTATTATTAGAAAGAATTATATTTAACAAGTAGGTATACAACATTAGTACCCAATACAAATCGTATTTACTAATGTGTAATAGTAAAAAATAACAATGGCTCTACGATTTAGCTATTTTACCATTTTCACCACCTTATTGGTAAATTTACAGTAAAATTTACAGGTAAATTTACCAATATTTTTTTTACGTAAATTATCCATCTCTAGGTACACTACTCTATATGTTTTAAGTTCTAATATATCTGCATAATAATATGTATAAAATAAATTAATTTTGCACCAACTGATCAGATTTTCAGCGGGTGCTCCTGTAATCGTGCAATATAAACTGCATACCTATTATGACATTACGAAGTATTATAATATATTAGAATGCATATTTTCGGTTATTTGACAACGTAATAGGTACGCAGACCTGTAATTTTGGCCAACACGATAATATAACTGACAATTGTTAGGTTATTTTGTATTCACAGTTCACACAAACAATACTTACCTATTATAGTGTCTATGTTATACAGTAGTGCTTCGCCGCCCCTCGTGAACAACGGTTTAGCCCTCACAAAAATATTCTTTATTGATTAAGACTGAAGCCACCTATCGGTTATTTTAAATTAATAGTTTTTTTAGGTGGGCAGTATGCATCCTCCCATAATTTAACCCTAGTCATGCCTATGATGTATAGTTATTAAATTGTTAAAAATGCTGACGATCTAATTGATATTATATTAGAAAATAATTATTAATTACAAAAGATTTTCCTATTTCCAGTGGAAATTAATACACATTAGGATTTCTAGTTCTATGTATGGTTGATTAATGGATGATTATTATTCGTGTTTAATTATTAATTGTTATTCTCGAATGTCCAGTGGATACACTTTTTGTATTTACATAATATAAATATGTGTATGTTACAAAATTTTTATAATTAAGTTTTACAGGCTAAACATCATGCATTCTAGGTATGAAATAGTAAATTTAATTCAATAAGTCAGTTCTTGGAATATGATTTTTATTTAAACGCAAATAATCATTTTCACCTATAAATACTAATGATATTAATTTTTTGTTAATAATATGTAAAAATTTGAATTTTCTCAATTTTATTATCTGGATAATAACGTTTTATATTATATTTATTTAGATAAAAAAAATATTTTTCATCTCTATCTGTATCAAGATAATTGTTTTGTTATCTGGGCTCAACACTGCTCCTAGGTGAACAAGCAGTAAGGGAAAAATTTTCAAAATTGAGTTTATTTAATATTCGATATTATTGCACGATTTCTTGTTTTTTTTTTCCTTAGAGAAAACACCATTACTAAACTGGAAATGCCTTTAAAATGCATTATAAAATGTCGTACCAAACAAAATTTTGTCAAATACTAGAGAAAAACACATTTTGTATATGTATGTAACAAAAATGAAAGTGGGTAATTATAAGAATGAAAATTAACTTTATTTGCATAATATTTTCCTTTAGGAGGAAGTATTATGAAGAGGTGGGTGTCATAAATCCTATAACCTAGACAGTTAATTTTTCTATAGAGATAAATAATATGATGATACTTCTTACCTGTCACGAACCCTGAAACTCTTTTCTCGCTCTGCCACACACAAGATGAATATTCTCAGAGCTCAGAAAATGCAAAGTAAATAAGAATCGTATACTTGTAATAAGTGAACACTTATGTTTATTTGATAAAAGCTTAAACGACACACGCGTAGAAACGATTTTAGCTTGTAGGCTAAGTATAGCCTATGGAGAAAATTAAGCCTCTATGGGGAAAATAAAGATGATACGAGTGGACACAAGAACACTCTGCTAGCGATGATGTGTTTGGAGGGACGTTTTATACTATTTTTGGAGGTCAAATCGTTCCTAGCGTGTTATATTTTTATTATATTTTATCTTATAATTAAAAATTATTTTAATGTAAATAGTATATCCTTGGGAAATAGTACTTTGCACATTGTACATAATGTTAGTGGATATTTCTAATAAAATAAATAATATAAGTAAATAATTTGTTGATATATTATCATATATATTGGTATCATGACATAAATGTAGCATATCTTAGAGAATAAAACAGTATTTTTTATGTGAGATTCTGAGTTTTTCAATACCCAAAATCCAACAACAAGCCCAGGGGAACACTAGCCTCGTGACCTATAAGCCGCACTTCGCATTGACCCGAAGGTCAAGTCGGTGGAACTTATTGGTTTTGAGTACACGCATGAGTTAATGAAAACCTCAAGACTTAAAATAAATATTTAGTGGGAGATAAATAGAAATATTTAGGTGACACTTTATAATAATGGTTAAATAATAAGAGAGAGTTTTAAGGTAATAATGTAGTTTTGTATTTTACATGGTCAATAGTAATAAAATAATAATGTGACATTGACAATTTATCATATAATAATATAGGGGTTTACATTGTATAACATAATAATAGTAGGGAATACATTTTATAACAGAACAATATAAGTATTTGCATTTTATAACATAATAATAAAGAAGGCATGTTATGACAGAATAAAATAAATATTTGCATTTTATAATAATATAAGTATTTGTATTTTATAACATAATAATAAAGAAGGCATTTTATGACAGAATAAAATAAATATTTGCGTTTTATAATAATATAAGTATTTGTATTTTATAACATAATAATAAAGAAGGCATGTTATGACAGAATAAAATAAATATTTGCATTTTATAATAATAATATGTAATGCATGCCGAGCATGAAGGAAATAGGATTTTATTGCGGATAGGAGACATTGGACTTGTCGCAAGACATATGTTTTTTTTTTTTTAATAATAACTTGAATTTTCCGGAGAGGAATATTTTGTATGTTTTTAATAGAATAATAATTTGAATCGTCTTGAGACGCATGTTTTGTCTGTTTTAAAAACAATAATGATCTCGGCCCACGGGAGAAGGCAGACCACATTACTCGTGGTTGGTCTCGCAGGGTTACCGGGTGTGTGCAAAGCATCTTTTTTTTTAATAGGCAATTTCCACAGCGGCGGGTGACTTGCGACAGCCAGAACTTAAGTACAAACAGGGAACAAGAGGAAGAGACAAAAAAATTACGCGATTACTTGCGACGCCTGAAAAAGGGGGACAAAGGGGTAATTGATACATGTCGACGACTGAAGTTTTGATACGTTGATTTTCGTAGCATGGTTGGTGGTGTCGCCTGCACCCGGCCTCGGTGTGTAGCCCATCATGGCGGTGGTTGTCATTGGTTCGCAATAATAGGCCGACAAGAAAAACAGAAGAACGGTGATACTTTTCGTGGTGGCCACGAAGCTTTTGTGGGCCTGTTGTACAGTGCAGCAGAGTTTAAGGTGGACTTGACTCAGCTCTACGCCTATGTGATCAGCGGTCGTTAAAAAGAGCGATCCAGAGTCGGTGGCACTGTCTGGCCGTAGGACGGCATCGGATATTTGTACTTGCTGACGTAGTGGGGCTGGTCAGTGTCACTGTTGCGGTCTTCTATTACAATCTTATAAGCATTTGAGGTACAGGCTACCCTGCTATACACTCTGGTAGACGCGACAAAAGCTCCCAACGGTAACGGACAGCGGGGCGCCGCTACTTGTTGCCGACGGACACAGCCTGGTGTGGGGGTCGGGGGAAGGGGACTGGTATTATATTGTTGTTATTTCGCATTAACTACGCAATAACTTATAAACAATAATAATGGTCACACCCGTGAAGGTATGCTGGTGGACTAATGATGATGACAATCAATACAATAGGTATGTTCGTGGAGTATAGATTAACAATAATAAAGGTCGAAAATTATGTAATGTTACACAAGACAATATGCACCAAAAAAGGTGTTTGTTGTCTTATGATAATCCAATATTAATGGAATGACACCCCTCGGTGTGGAATAGTGGTTTTTATTATGATCTTATTTTGGTTGAATATAATTTTAAAAAAACGATCGAATATAAGAGTATTCATAATCTTTTGGAATTGTCATGTCCCAGATATTCAGAAGTTGTTTAAAATATTATAATATAACAACAAGAGTCGTACAGAAACCATAATATATATGTCTGAAAATATCAACAACTATATGAAACAAGGAAAGTACAGCAATCTAAGAGACCTGCCAACGAAACAGAGAGAAACACCAGTCAATAATAAGACGGGTGACCGCAGTAAACGCAGCAAGAAAAGATGAAGAGACATGAAAGACACAGGCGGATTAATAATGGTCATAGGACCATAAATGTTTACTAATATTTTGAACCAAAAGTCAAATATGTATAATGCCTAATATTGCGTATATTTTATTATATATTATTTTTACACAATAAGATATAAGAAAGAACTGAATTAATCTGACTAAGTATTTTTAATTAACGACATTTTTTTATTTGTTAGTACTCGAAATGTTTTATAGTTTCTTTAGTCTTGCAGATTTTTTGAAAAGGTGTTTGTTGTCTTATGATGATCAAATATTAATGGAATGACACCCCTCGGTGTGGAATAGTTGTTTTTATTATGATCTTATTTTGGTTGAATATAATTTAAAAAGAACGATCGAATATAAGAGTAATCATAATCTTTTGGAATTGTTATATGTCCCAGATATTCAGAAGTTGTTTAAAATATTATAATATAACAACAAGAGTCGTTCAGCAAACATAATATATATGTCTGAAAATATCAACAACTATACGAAACAAGGAAAGTACAGCAGACTAAGAGATCTGCCAACGAAACAGAGAGAAACACCAGTCAATAATTAGACGGGTGACCGTGGTGAACGCAGCAAGAAAAGATGAAGAGACATGGAAGACACAGGCGGATTAATAATGGTCATAGGACAATAAATGTTAACTAATATTTTGAACCAAAAGTCAAATATGTATAATGCCTAATATTGCATATATTTTATTATATATTATTTTTACACAATAAGATATAAGGAAGAACTAAATTAATCTGACTAAGTATTCTTAATTAACAACATTGTTTTATTTGTTAGTACTCGAAATGTATTATAGTTTCTTTAGTCTTGCAGATTTTTTGAAAAGGTGTTTGTTGTCTTATGAAGATCAAATATTAATGGAATGACACCCCTCGGTGTGGAATAGTTGTTTTTATTATGATCTTATTTTGGTTGAATATAATTATAAAATAACGATCGAATATAAGAGTAATCATAATCTTTTGGAATTGTTATATGTCCTAGATATTCAGAAGTTGTTTAAAATATTATAATATAACAACAAGAGTCGTTCAGCAACCATAATATATATGTCTGAAAATATCAATAACTATACAAAACAAGGAAAGTACAGCAGACTAAGGGATCTGCCAACGAAACAGAGAGAAACACCAGTCAATTATGAGACGGGTGACCGCGGTAAACGTAGTAAGAAAAGATGAAGAGACATGGAAGACACAGGCGGATTAATAATTTTCATAGGACCATAAATGTTTACTACTATTTTGAATATAAAGTCAAATATGTATAATGCCTAATATTGCATATATTTTATTATATATTATTTTTACACAATAAGATATAAGGAAGAAATAAATTAATCTGACTAAGTATTCTTAATTAACAACATTTTTTTATTCGTTAGTACTCGAAATGTATTATAGTTTTTTTAGTCTTGCAGATTTTCTGAAAAGGTATTTGTTGTCTTATGATGATCAAATATGAATGGCGAATGACACACCTCGGTGTGGAATAGTTGTTTTTATTATGATCTTATTTTGGTTGAATATAATTTAAAAAGAACGATCGAATATAAGAGTAATCATAATCTTTTGGAATTGTTATATGTCCCAGATATTCAGAAGTTGTTTAAAATATTATAATATAACAACAAGAGTCGTTCAGCAAACATAATATATATGTCTGAAAATATCAACAACTATACGAAACAAGGAAAGTACAGCAGACTAAGAGATCTGCCAACGAAACAGAGAGAAACACCAGTCAATAATAAGACGGGTGACCGCAGTAAACGCAGCAAGAAAAGATGAAGAGACATGAAAGACACAGGCGGATTAATAATGGTCATAGGACCATAAATGTTTACTAATATTTTGAACCAAAAGTCAAATATGTATAATGCCTAATATTGCGTATATTTTATTATATATTATTTTTACACAATAAGATATAAGAAAGAACTGAATTAATCTGACTAAGTATTTTTAATTAACGACATTTTTTTATTTGTTAGTACTCGAAATGTTTTATAGTTTCTTTAGTCTTGCAGATTTTTTGAAAAGGTGTTTGTTGTCTTATGATGATCAAATATTAATGGAATGACACCCCTCGGTGTGGAATAGTTGTTTTTATTATGATCTTATTTTGGTTGAATATAATTTAAAAAGAACGATCGAATATAAGAGTAATCATAATCTTTTGGAATTGTTATATGTCCCAGATATTCAGAAGTTGTTTAAAATATTATAATATAACAACAAGAGTCGTTCAGCAAACATAATATATATGTCTGAAAATATCAACAACTATACGAAACAAGGAAAGTACAGCAGACTAAGAGATCTGCCAACGAAACAGAGAGAAACACCAGTCAATAATTAGACGGGTGACCGTGGTGAACGCAGCAAGAAAAGATGAAGAGACATGGAAGACACAGGCGGATTAATAATGGTCATAGGACAATAAATGTTAACTAATATTTTGAACCAAAAGTCAAATATGTATAATGCCTAATATTGCATATATTTTATTATATATTATTTTTACACAATAAGATATAAGGAAGAACTAAATTAATCTGACTAAGTATTCTTAATTAACAACATTGTTTTATTTGTTAGTACTCGAAATGTATTATAGTTTCTTTAGTCTTGCAGATTTTTTGAAAAGGTGTTTGTTGTCTTATGAAGATCAAATATTAATGGAATGACACCCCTCGGTGTGGAATAGTTGTTTTTATTATGATCTTATTTTGGTTGAATATAATTATAAAATAACGATCGAATATAAGAGTAATCATAATCTTTTGGAATTGTTATATGTCCTAGATATTCAGAAGTTGTTTAAAATATTATAATATAACAACAAGAGTCGTTCAGCAACCATAATATATATGTCTGAAAATATCAATAACTATACAAAACAAGGAAAGTACAGCAGACTAAGGGATCTGCCAACGAAACAGAGAGAAACACCAGTCAATTATGAGACGGGTGACCGCGGTAAACGTAGTAAGAAAAGATGAAGAGACATGGAAGACACAGGCGGATTAATAATTTTCATAGGACCATAAATGTTTACTACTATTTTGAATATAAAGTCAAATATGTATAATGCCTAATATTGCATATATTTTATTATATATTATTTTTACACAATAAGATATAAGGAAGAAATAAATTAATCTGACTAAGTATTCTTAATTAACAACATTTTTTTATTCGTTAGTACTCGAAATGTATTATAGTTTTTTTAGTCTTGCAGATTTTCTGAAAAGGTATTTGTTGTCTTATGATGATCAAATATGAATGGCGAATGACACACCTCGGTGTGGAATAGTTGTTTTTATTATGATCTTATTTTGGTTGAATATAATTTAAAAAGAACGATCGAATATAAGAGTAATCATAATCTTTTGGAATTGTTATATGTCCCAGATATTCAGAAGTTGTTTAAAATATTATAATATAACAACAAGAGTCGTTCAGCAAACATAATATATATGTCTGAAAATATCAACAACTATACGAAACAAGGAAAGTACAGCAGACTAAGAGATCTGCCAACGAAACAGAGAGAAACACCAGTCAATAATTAGACGGGTGACCGTGGTGAACGCAGCAAGAAAAGATGAAGAGACATGGAAGACACAGGCGGATTAATAATGGTCATAGGACAATAAATGTTAACTAATATTTTGAACCAAAAGTCAAATATGTATAATGCCTAATATTGCATATATTTTATTATATATTATTTTTACACAATAAGATATAAGGAAGAACTAAATTAATCTGACTAAGTATTCTTAATTAACAACATTGTTTTATTTGTTAGTACTCGAAATGTATTATAGTTTCTTTAGTCTTGCAGATTTTTTGAAAAGGTGTTTGTTGTCTTATGAAGATCAAATATTAATGGAATGACACCCCTCGGTGTGGAATAGTTGTTTTTATTATGATCTTATTTTGGTTGAATATAATTATAAAATAACGATCGAATATAAGAGTAATCATAATCTTTTGGAATTGTTATATGTCCTAGATATTCAGAAGTTGTTTAAAATATTATAATATAACAACAAGAGTCGTTCAGCAACCATAATATATATGTCTGAAAATATCAATAACTATACAAAACAAGGAAAGTACAGCAGACTAAGGGATCTGCCAACGAAACAGAGAG